CATGGCTCTGCCATTTGGAGCGGTTTGACTAAGCAAGGCCAATCTGCAACTCGATCCATCATTTCTGATGGAGTTTCATTTCTTAAACCAATTGTTAGGTGGAATGTTGTTAATGGTGCTAGCATTAGTGTCATGAATGACATTTGTTTACTAGATAAATGTTTCAACAAATGGCCTATGCTTGCTTACTGCATTGGTATGGAAAATCTGACGTTGCAAAGCTTCATTCTTGAAGATGGCAATTGGAACATATTGGAACTCGACCGATATTTCAACATTGATATGGTTAACCTCATCATACACCATTGTGTTATCCAGGAGGGGGATGGTGACCATATGGAACTTCTTTATCAACTCTCTGGGAAGTCTATAACTTCGTTGGCTTATACTGAATCTATTAAATGCCATAAAATAATTGATGACTCTAGTTTTACCAACTGGCTACAGAAGCTGAAGTTTAAACCAAGAGTTGAGCTCTTCTGGTGGAGATTAAGTAGGTTTGCCATTCCCAGGAACGAATTTCTGAAATACAGAAAGCTTAGCAATAATGATCTCTGTGCTTATGGTTGCCCTGTAATTGAAAATTGTGATCATCTTTTAGTTCAATGCAAATCTCTTACTTAGATTTTATGTAAGCTGGGGTCTTGGGGATTTAATATTCCTTTGTTCAACTCTCTTACGAACTGCTTTCAGCAGTTGAGAAGTCTATCCATTACTAGCTTAGATATCATCAAGAACTATTTCACTGCAATTTTCTTCTCCTGGAATCGCAGGAATGATATGAAGCACGGTAACCCATCATTTCCTGTTTCGATGATTGCTGCAAATGTTCTATTTACTGCCACAAGTAAGTATCCAATGCTAGTTAACTGGGATGCTACTCTCCTTAGGGAGTCCGAAACCTCATGGCATCCCCCACCACTTGATTGGATCAAAATTTACGTAGACGCATCGTTACTGGATTCAAATTTAGCCAGCATTGGTGGTGTGGCTCGGGACTCTAATGCAAGTTTACTTCTTGCATTTGGGAAGGAAAAACTTCATTGGGACATCAACTAACTTGAGTTGGAAGCTGTATTTTCTTTGAAATACTTCATTCAAGATTGGAAATTTGATTGTAAAGGCTTAATAAAAGAGGGTGATAACTACAATGCCATCAAGTTTCTTCATGATTCCGTTGTGAAGTCCACTGCCATTGGTCAGATTTCCGAGAATATTAATTTCCTCCATGATTTCAATAAAGTTTTATTCCATCACACCTCTAGAAATTGTAAAAAAGTTGCTGATTTGTGTGCAACTCTTGCTTTACATAATAACTTTTGTTTTGATTCTATTCTTTCTCCTGATATTCCTTCTTCATTATCTAGTCTACTGAAGAAGGAATATGAGGCTTGCATTACTTGATTAGTTTGTAATAGTTTTTTTTTTTCTTAGCTCTTAATGCAAGTTCACAATTCTTCAAAAAAAAAAAGCTACAAATTACTCGCAAATTCACCCCACATATGTTAGTTGATAAAATTACTCTCTTGAAATCTCTGAAATAATTAACACTAGATCAACATCAAATTGTGATCATTCCACTTGCATAGTTAATCTAGTTTATCATCTTTGAAATAATGGTTGTTTTACCTTGACATATGTCATCGATGATAATATATATATACATATATATCATCGATGATAAAGTTTGCGAGGTCATGTTAGTAAAGGCCACTAGATGCTTTGATATTATTTGTGCAGAAGTTTAAGAACTTGCCTACCCACCAGATGAATGAAAATAACTACTACAACAACAACAACAACATCAAGCCTTTATCCCACTACGTGGGGTCGGCTACATGAATCCTTTTTCTCCATTGTGTCCTATTAAAAGTCAAATTCTCGTTTAAATCTAACAAAGAAAGGTCATTCCTAATATTTTCTAACCAAGTCTTTTTAGGTCTACCCCTACCTTTCTTAACATAAGTCAAATCTAATACCTCTACTCTCCTAACCGGGTCATCGCAAGGCCGCTGTTTTATGTGACCAAACCATCTAAGGCGACTTTCTCTAATCTTATCTTCTACTGGAGCTACTCCGACCTTTTCACGTATATGCCCATTTCGTATCCTATCTCTACGGGTAAAGCCACTCATCCACCTGAGCATCCTCATCTCTGCCACACTTAACTTAGTATTATGCTTCTCTTTTAAAGGCCAACATTCGGCACCATAAAGCATTGCAGGCCTCACTACCATCTTATAGAATTTTCCCTTAAGTTTGAGGGGTACATTTTTATCACATAACAAGCCCGATGCATTCCTCCACTTCAACCATCCAACTTGAATTCTGCTGATAATATCCCCATTTATTTCACCATCACTCTGAACAATAGATCCAAGATAACTAAAACGTGTACTCTTATTAATGACTTGATCGCCCAAAGTCACAATCCCCTCACTAGGTCTATTACTACTAAAATTACACTCCATATATTCCGTTTTAGATCTACTCAAGCGAAAACCTTTAGACTCTAAGGTTGACCTCCATAATTCAAGTTTACCTTCAACTCCCTCTCTAGTCTTATCAACAAGAAGAATATCATCAACAAAAAGCATACACCAAGGTACATCATCTTGCAAATGTCTAGTGAGAACATCCAAGACTAAAGCAAAAAGATATGGGCTTAAGGCTGATCCTTGATGTAACCCAACCGAAATAGGAAAATACTTGGTCAATCCACCTTGTGTTTGAACACAAGTAATAGCTCCTGCATACATATCTTTAATGATTTGAATATAAGCATTATTGACTCCTTTCTTTTCAAGAACTCTCCATAGCACTTCTCTTGGAACTTTATCATATGCTTTTTCTAAATCAATAAATATCATATGTAGATCATCCTTATTTTCTCTATATTTCTCCATCAAACCTCTTAATAAATGTATGACTTCCATAGTCGACCTACCCGGCATAAATCCAAATTGATTTTGAGAAACATTAGTATCACACCACAACCTATGCTCCATAACTCACTCCCATAGTTTTAAAGTATGACACATTAACTTAATACCTCTATAATTCGCACAATCTTGAACATCACCTTTATTCTTAAAAATAGGAATTAACACACTCATTCTCCACTCATCTGGCATCTTCTTAGTCTTCAAAATAGTATTAAAAAGTTTAGTAAGCCAAGAAATCCCTTCATCTCCTAAGCATTTCCACACCTCTATTGGAATATCATCAGGTCCAACAGCTTTTCCACCCTTCATTCTATTTAAAGCCTCTCTAACTTCAGTTTTACTAATACGCCGATAAAAACAGAAATCTTTACTTTCATTTAGGGTGCTAAGGTCACTACAGTCAATCTTATTTTCACAATCTTCATTAAAAAGATTAGCAAAATATCTCATCCATCTTTGTTGAATATCATCTTCTAAGAAAAGTATTTTTTGATCTTCATCTTTAATACACTTCACTTGAACTAAATCCTTACTACTCTTATCTCTTTGTTTGACTAACTTATACATACATCTTTCTCCCTCTTTAGTTATGCAATTCTATTATATAATCACTAAAGCTAATGCATTTGCATGGATATATTACTTTCTTAGCAGCCTTACAGCCACTTTATATATTTTCCAATTATCAGAATTTTTTAAAATTAAACCAATTTTTATATAAAAAGCTTCTTATTTTTAATTTTTTCTTGCACATTAGGATTCCACGCCAGTATTTTTACTATTAGGAGTTTTTCCCTTGATACTCCAAGGACATTGGCAATATCTTAATATACAGCCCACTTTTTTCGCCATATAATTAGCATCCTCATGCACAAACAAAATCTTAAAGATCTAAAATCTTATTTCAAAATATTTTTGTTAATATTCTTAAATGCCTCTTTAATCCTAGAAATTATTTTACTTTATTTTTTATTTATCCCCTTTATCTTAAAGTTCAAAACTAATAATCGATGTTGGGTACTAAAATTTTCACTCGGAATACTTTACAATCTTTGCAATCAAACGATTTAATTTTTAATAAAAAATAGTCAATATGTTGCTATTTATATTCATTTTTATAAGTATGAGATGTTCAATTCCTTTTCTTAAATAAGGTATTAGCAATTTAAAAAATCATAAGCTAAACAAAAATCCAATATGGTCTTCATCTTCATTCGTCGTTCCAAATCATGGCCACCATGAATGCTTTTAAAATCATCTACTTCTCTACCAACATGTCCATTTAAATCTCCTCCAATAAAAACTCTTTTTTCAAGAGGTATATTATGTATTAATTCTTCTAAGTCATTCCAAAAATTTAATTTAGAACTCATATCCAAACCTACTTGAGGAGCATAAGCACTTATAATATTAACAATCTTATTCTCAATAACAATCTTTAAAGCTATAATTATATCTCCAATCCTATTAATTTTTATAACATTATCCTTTAAACTATTATCTATAATAACACCTACACCATTTCTAGTACGACTCCTACCAGAATACCAAAGTTTAAATCCTAAACTATCAATTTCCTTAGCCTTATCTCCAACCCATTTAGTTTTCTGAATGCACAAAATATTTAACTTCCTATGAATCATAATATATATTAATTCCATTAATTTTCCTATAAGGGAACATATATTCCAAGTTTCTATCCTAATTTTAATTTCATGGACTAACTTCTTTTCCCACATCCGTCCTTGATGTGGGAACCCTTGCCTATTTAACACTGCACCCGGGCGCCGGTGCAGCGGCCCTTGCACACTTGTCACTGTATTCAGGCCATACAGCGCGTCGCTTCCAGGGGACGCCCTAGCATTAACACAATTTCTTAAAGGATTCATGTCATTATTGTTCGACAAGTTTTACGCTGGCTGTCGACTACCTAACGCAACCCTCCACTTTTCTCATCCAGGACTTGGGACCTGACAACGGCAGTGTTGAAATAAAATTTTCATGACAATAACTAATTTCAAAAAAATAAAATTTCATGACAATTTAACAATAAAATTTACGTACGACTGCATCAATATCATTCTAGGTTTTCATTGATTTCTATCTTAAAAAACAACAATATCATCAATTTACCGCACTTTGCAACCATTCCTTTGTAAGACTTGACGCAATGTTTACACTGACAATAACTCATACAACATGTAGAACAAAATGTCAAGCAACTTTATGATACATCACAGGGAAAAAAAAAAAACTCTTTTTAAATGTTTAGAAGTATGTTAATCTTTCAACCGCTGTGTCTTTTGACAGAAAGCTCTCAATCTTTACGAGTGCCTAGCAAAAACAATTACGTTAGCACGTAATAAAGTTAATTTTTATTGGATAAATGTGAATACATTGAGGAGAATTGAAGCGAAGGAAATCAATACCTCAATGGCGATGGCTGTTGGCGTCAGAGCTGAGACATCACCATGGCCCTGTTTGGAAGCAATATCTGGCGATAAAAACCACACTTGATAGTTATAAGAATAATAGGAAAAGAATTATATCATGATATTGAGTTGCAATTTTTATTAGGATGATAATACAAAATGTTTAGAGTTATAAGATAAATACTCAAAATAAGATGTTTAAACAAAAAGAAAAAAATTAACATTATAAATTAAATTTATCTTGATAAATTATTTAAAGAGAATTTACATATATATCATATAATTATTATATAATTACATATCTAATAACTAAACTTTAATATTTATTTATATACATTTTGGTATCTCAATATGCATGAAAATATATATATTTCACTTTTGAAAAGTTAACAATAACAAAATTTTCTATGTAATTTAAAGATTTTGGTGTTATATAAATAAACATTTAAGTTTAGTTCTTAGATATATATAAATAAATACATAAGAATTATGTGGTACATAGAAAAATCCCCATAATTTAAATTTCTTCTACTTTAAAACATTTATAACCCAACTCTAAAATTTTGTATTTTCATCTTAATACAAATTGAATAGAGAAATCCTATATAATTTTTAGCCAAGATAATATATGTTCTTTGTTAAATAACAGAACAGCAGATGTTATTAATATAAGTATCAAAGCATACGTTGGAGGCAAATCCTTGCGTCAGCATTTGCATAGGCATCACCCCTTTCTTCAGAGAGGGTGGAAAGACGAATCAAAGCCTGCAAGGAAATTTAGTATCGCATAAATAGACAAGTAGATGCATTTGAAACAGATCACTCTCACAAAGCGAGCCAAAAAGCTCCATGGAAGCAAAAAAAAAAAAGTTATCGATTTCTAGTTGTTTTTTTGGCCTTTTTAGAGTATATAATTGTGAGATGAATACAGTTTGGCATAATGTCTACTAAGACGCATTAGAGTGTAGAGTTTAATCCTTGATTGAAGAGGTAAAAAGCATAATGGTATGGAAGTTTTAGAGGTTGGCTCTCATGAATAGGATTAAGCTTTTGGGTTGAAAATATGTATAACCACTAATATATTGATTAACTTTGACCCACAATTAATCGACAGTGCCTAACTAGTGATATCAAATCCCAATTCAGCAGGACTAAATGGTTCATGTGATTTGTGGCTACCAAAATTTTTTTACTTTCTACCTAGTCGAGCAAAAGTTTAAAACAGGCAACTAACACAATAGTTCCACACGATTGAGTGGCTAGCGAAGGATAGCCAAAGTGGTATTACATTGGAATATTGGATGGATGAACATATGCTAGTGTAAATATATTTATTGTTGGCACTCACCCATAAGTTTAAGCTTATGACCTGAAAATGTGCCCAACTATTCATGTATCAAGTCCAACTACAAATCCACTTTTCCTCACATTTCCAAACAAATTCAAATAATTTTTACGAGCTTAATATAAAGTGAAGATAATTGAATGCAAAAACTAGACGCCATTTCCTATATCCATCTAGATCAAGCCATCTAAATAAAAATACTAGCAATTACAAAGTACAAAATTAACATCCTACCTTCGTGTATGGATCACCAGGCTCGTTGTGCAAAAGAGGACGTGATTCAGTCCCCACTGCAGCAATACGCCTAGCAAGAGCCTCAAGAGGCACATCTAACCAGACGGTTATTCCTCGTTTCATATAACTCCTGAAAATAGTAAAGTTCTATTAGTTATTCGATCCGGAACTGCTAGTTATGCTCACAGTTTTACTGCGGTACCAATTAATAGGTCGAATAACAGCACCACCACCAGTGGCAACAACTAATCGGCGCATCAAGGACAGATCTCTAAGAGCTTTACTCTATAAAGAAAGGGAGTGATTGGTTAGAGTTACTAATTAACAACGAACCATAGAGAACTATCACAATACAAACAGTTAAATATAGCAGACTTGTGATTATTAATTAGCCAATGAATTCAATTTTGAAACAATCTGCCAAAGAATGCAATGAAAGCTCACCTCATTGTCTCTAAAGAAAGCCTCACTGCGCTCCTTAAAGATCTGAGCAACAGAATACATTCCAACAGCCTTCTCCACTAACTTGTCGCTGTAAGAATTATAGTAAATAGGTAAGCATACCCATTCAAGAGCAAATAGGGTTGTCACGTCTCATTTAAAATTGCCTATTTTGGTTGATAATTATAAACCAACCTGTCAAAAAAAGAATAACCCAATACTTCTGATAATATCTTTCCAACTGTAGTCTTCCCAGATCCCATCATTCCTGTTAATAAAGCAGGCCAGTTTAACTGTCAAATTTTGAGCATGTGATCTAGTGAACCAATCCTCAAAAGGTAATTTGCTAAAAACATGCTGAAAATGGATCAAACAAGAAACTGACCAACTAGAAATAAACATCTTTCATTCATGTAGGGGATAACATCTTCAGACTTTTTCTGCAGATGAAAAATATGCATCAGTGAGATGATCGCATGGGAAAACGAGACAACAAAGTATTACTTCCTATGCTGAAAGGTATAAAATATGAACCAAAAGACATTTCATTTACAAAGGGAAGGCCAATAACCTTTAAGATTAGAGCTTCATCAACACCAGTAAGAAACTTTTCAGACTCTGCAGTTGAAGACAAAAGGCACGATTATATAAGAGTAAGAAGTGCAATAAATAGAGAGAAAAACATGGAAAACTAACATCCTAAAGAACAAATATCTACCCCGGTGACACAATAATGCTTTCTAAACAGCAAGAAGCGTCACAAGACTTTCTAAATGAAGCACCATAATAAACTATGAGCATCACGCCAATTTTACAAGCCACTACAAATACCTATCCCAATAAGTTGCAATTTCATCGAATGGACAAATTGAACAATAAAAAAATACAAAAATGGAACACAGGATTAAGTCAATGTAAAAACACAATATATGTATTGCTTCTTATTTAGTCCATATACAGGCCTTTATTTGTTTGTACAGCTTATATATTTAATTTCACTCTCATCTCCTTCATTTGTAACATGGTATCAATGTCAGGGTTACTCTAATATTGCTCTTGTAGTAGTGTCTCTTCCACTTTCTACAGGCTTCATCGCACCTTTGTTCCTAGTGCCTCCGTTGTAGCTCTCACCTGCTCTCCGGATCTTGCTAGTCGCCAACTATGAAAGCCCATTGTATCATCCCCTGTTCTTTTTGCAATCATCAAATCCTCTTCAATCCTACAGTCACCATCACATTTGCTTATTGTGTTTTCACCTCTCTTTGCTCAATTCTTATCATGCAAAATCACACTCGGCATCCTCTCCTCCCACTTTGCCGTTTATAAGTTCGCAATCCAATTGCTAACGACTGTCATATTGCCTTGATGCCCACCTCACCACACTCAACAACAAGAAGGGAAAATTTTGAGACAAGAATATAAAGCTTCCTGAATGGTTCAGGTGTGGGAGTAATAGAAATGGAAAATGTACAACCACCAAACTTTTTTTATGAACCAAGTGAGACACTTCTTAAGCGCATGAAAAAAATGGTTTGAGAAGAATCATAAAATTATTGCCAATATTAGCAATGCCCAGCTCTTACTATTCGCCTTCAACATAGTAGTTATGATTGTGGCAAACTCATATGAGAGAGCTTCTTTCCACTTAGCTTTCAATTATTAGTCGTCCCACAAGTAATAATATTGTTGCACAGTTCAACATCTAGATCAAACCCCTAGACAACTTTCTTGTGAAAGCACACCCTTTTTGATCTTTACTTGATATGGCTTTGCTCTCGGACCCAATTTGGGCCATTCTCCAATACCATGAGCAGAACCGACTTGTTTGATTATTGATATGTTAGCTGATGTTAATGAACTAGCTTGCACTTCTTTACTAGTTAGAATCCTCTCACTATCTTGAAAATTGTCATTGTTGAAGTTAGAGTAGTCATAATTAGGTATGCCAAGATCTATGAAGCAAAGGAACTTCAAAATTTTCCCATGCCTATGTTGTACATGTTTTTGACACGGGCATTTGTCTGACACATTCCGATACATGTTCAACATGTTCAAAATTATTTCAAAAGCATTTTAAGCTCGAAATAGGGTCATAGATAACCTAACATAGAGGAGACATATGGAGGACACAAGGGAGAACTCATTAGGGTTTTCTTCCTTTGTTTTTTTAGTCTAATTATCATGCTATAAGAACTCACATGTTGGAGTTACTCCTATTCCATATAGTTATTAATATTTTTTATCACAGTAGCTTTGCCCTCCACACAAGCCTAATGTGAAATATCAGCCCTTTCCATCAATCTTTTCCAAGCTTTTTAGCAGTGGCACAACCATAATATGTCAACCAAGCATATTTTCAATAATGCATACCTAGTGTGAAAACTAAGCATCTTCGTGATAGAAAGTGAATACAATTTCCTTGAAATCAGTGAACGGCAATAACAAATTAGGAAGAAAAACACACCGCTACTATTTTTATTGAAAGATATACGAAAGAAAATAGCAAGATACAATTAAATCTTTAATTAGAGAGGAAGATTCAACTTTCCCAAATCTCTAGTAGATGACTAGAGCCCAAATAACCTAAGACTACACTGAATTCTGCAAACAAAAAAAATAAACCCCAAGAAAACATACGTTAAGCCTACCCAAAATAATACAATTCCCAAACAACATCCTTCATATAATTTTTCCTGCTAGTCCCCGCCCGCCTTTTGAAATTGCCTCATGAGCCTTGCTGCAAAAAGGAGGCTGGTTCCTGTTCCACCTAAAATAGGCGGAAATTCCGCCTCAAAATAGGCGGAACTATTCTTCCTCAATAGAACTAGTCCGTGGTGACCGGCTGGATCGGTTTAACAATACTTCCTTTCAAAAACTCACCTTATCCACAAGGTGGAAAGACAGCTTCTTTCTCAATTTCCTCTCATCACAAACGGTGAGAACTTGAAGATGTTGATTCTTACATCTATGCCCCGATATATATCTCTCCTCATATCTAAAATAGAGCCCCTTCACCCTCTTCTCATGTAACTTCGTTTCTGTGAGCTTCTTGAAGTTATTCCTAGGTCTACCTCCTTTAGTCTTCTCTTTCGGGGTCTCTCGAAGAGTACCCAGTGTCGACTTCTTGGGTCCCAAAATGGTAGTGGTCATCCTGTATAAATCTCTTGAGCTGTTGCATCCAATCCCTCTCACTAGGTAACTCTCATCCTGTAATAACTAAGCTATCTTTATAGCCTCTCCCAAATCCTGAAGCCTTATCACTTTAATGGTCGCTCGAATCTCTAGTTAAACCCTTTCATAAAGTTTCCCTTGAATGCAATCTCCATAAGACAGTCCAGTCAGCTAGCGAGATGCTCAAACTGCTCATGGTATTCCTCCACCATCTCGTCCTCTATCAGGGCGAAGAATTGCTCATAGAAGTCCCCTTCCCTGCTTGTTAGGGAGCATTCCAACAAGCAGTCTTTAAACTATCTCCAAGTCCATAAGGGTCACCTCATATCCCTCCACTAGTACCATGCTGATTCTTTCCCCTTCAAGCATATCCCGGCTGTTGTTAGTCTCTCCTCCACCATCAACTTATTGACTGTAAAGTACCTTTCCACCATGTAGATCCACCCATGTGCATCCTATCCCAAAAAAATAAGCATCTTCAGCTTCCTCACCCTCAGATCTCCTCTGTCACCCCAATTTCCTCCAAAACTTCCCATTCCCCAAGGGGGCAGCTCTCCCCATTTTTGTCAATTATTCCTCCGCTCGTACCTAAACCTTTCATCACAAGCCCAACTTCTCCCTTTAAGTTCAGCACCCCTTCGATCATATTCAACCCCCATCCTTTTAAATTCAGCACCCTTTCGATTATATTCAAGCCATCACCATTCAAATTAAACCCCTCTCAATTCAAATTCAAACCCCTCCGCTCATGCCAACCCCTTCACGCCTCTCTACATACACTATACCCGACTTCTCCCAATGAATATGTTCTAAGGGAAGCATTCTCTTTTCTCCCTCAACAATCACTGCCTCAAAATCTTTCATTCTCCTTATTGAATTAGGGTTTTCTCCACTTTCTTGGAGATGAACAGCTTCCCTCGCCTATGACAATGCCAACTTTAGTTTGGCCCTTGAGAAACTTCTTCAACATCTCCTCCATGATAGAAAATTTCACATCAATCTTCTCGTGGACGGATAAAATTTGACTTTTGAAATCTAAAACTTGAGTTAGAAGATCTGAAATTTCATATTTCAATTTTTCTATCTCCCCCTCCAACACTTATATTGTTTTCCCTATAATGGATACTCGGATCTAGGCTCTGAACAGCAAAATCGTCCACAAAACAACAGTTCTGATCTTCAAACAGGAAAAAACAGCAAGATCGGAGATAAAACAATGCATAAATCAACGAGGAGACTTTTATTTCGACCTAGGAAATTGCTCTAATACCAATTTGATAGGAAATGAATTCAATTTCCTCAAAATCAGCAAACGACAATAACAAATTAAGAAGAAGAACACACAACTATTTTTATTGCATGATATATGAAAGAAAACAACAAGATACAGTTGGATCTTCAATTAGAGAGGAAGATCCGACTTACCCAAATCCATAGCCGCCAGCTTGAGCTCAAATAATCTAAACTACTCTGAACTCAACAAAGAACAAATAAAAAAACAAACCCTAGGTAAACACTACTTAAAGCATACCCAAAATAATATAATTCCCAAACAATCCCTTCATATTAATTTTCCCTCTTAATTGTCCCCTCCAACTCCTTTTGAAATTGCCTCCTAGGCCTTGCTACAATAATGAGGCGGGCTCCTATTTCGCCTAAAACAGGCAGAAGTTCAGCCTCAAAAAAGGTGGAACTATTACACCTCAACAGAGTCGGTCCAGGGTGATTGGTTGGACCGATCTAACACTTCGTAGAGGAACATACCTACATGACGTGATAGTCATCTTGGCTACCACTTCAGTTATTTAGTGTCTCAATTCTATCTATCATCTAATCTCATCATCCGCTACAAACGATGTCTACTCACAACCCTGACAACCATTTCCCTTTTATGCTTATCTAGCAATGGTCACGACCCTTGGTTGTTGCTTTATTTCTACTCATTACAATCTAACATAAATCTCTTCCTATATATACTCAAATGTTAGAGCTAAATGTGAATGGCTCTAAGCCTTTAGCTTTGCTTATTTAACCCTAATTCCATTTTTTTCCCTTTTTTTGTACTGTCTTTATCAAACAAGAAATTTTTTCAACTTTATGATTCTATTCTAATATTTTTTTTTTCTTTTTGAAGAAAATTAATGATGTTAGTTTTTAATATTAATAATAAGGTTTATGATATTATCCATCAGTGACCAATTAATATAGGTTATTTTTATAAGATAATAAGATAATGATTTCTAAAATGCTCATTGATATAACTGGTAATAATCCTATATAGGATGATAATGAACCTTTATGAAAGTATGTTATCAAATTAGGCAATGTAGGAACAAAGGGGAAGGGGAAATATAAAATGCAAATATTGATATTGTAAAGTATAAGGGAATGTATTCTAGAGTATGACTATGTGAGCTTGCTTGCTTGGAAAATTCAAAGAGACATGTAATCATGCTAAGCAATAGCATCCATGCAACTTGAAGAACTGCACAATTTAGATGCAAAGACTAATTAGAGGAAGAGGAATGCCTCATTTAAGAAGGATCCCCTTCCTTCTTGAAGACAAAATAGGTCCAATCAAGTGAATGAACATTCTATTTCATAATCAAGTGCAATTTTTTTGGGGTGTAAGGTTATGATCCAAACAAGAGGAAGATATATGGACCAAAGAAAACTATTCGAAGCGCATTTAATGTGCAAGCCAGATATCAATAATATAAGGAAATTTCTTGCATGTTCTATTCAATTTCCCTTTCACTTCCTTTAACAAACAATCCATGCTATATATATATATATATATATATATATACCAATAACACTCCATGGATATAAATCCCATCGTTATAATCTTTTGACGACAACACTCCTTTAGTCGGTAAGAACCAACGTCAAAAGAATGTTTGAGGAACCAAACAAGATTGGAAAAGAAAAGGTAATTACCACATTTTGTGATATCTAAACTTATACCCAAAAAATACCAATTACTTTTATGGGTGTTGCAAGAGTTAATCCTAAGTTTATAAAAGTCATCAATTATGAAGGAGCATAAAAAGATAAATTTTACATTGCAAATCATATCATAAAGTGATTAGAGATTTTGTTTAAGATAGAATGGTTCAAATTATCTCTGACAATGCACAAATGAGCAAAGTGGCAGAACTGCTAATTGAAACCCAAAACCCTCATATTTTTTGGATTCCTTGTGTTGTTCATATATTGAATCTTGCATTAAAAATATTTGTGTTCTAGATAATCAAAGGGTTTTTCAAATTTTAATGAATTTATGAAACTATAAATGTTGATTATGGCATAAAATAGTTTTGCATTGACATTAGTTATGCTAAGGTTATTCAAAATTGTACAACATTGCAAGCCATAGTGAGTAGTGATAAAAGGAAAAATTATTAAGATAATATAGATCATGCCAAGTTTGATAATGCAAAATATTAGATGATTTGTCACGGGATTAATTAGATTATGCTATTTCTTTTATAATTCTAATATATGAAATATCAAGAGTAGTAGATATAGACAAGCTTTATCTCTCTACCGTGTATTTGACATATGAAATTTTATGATTGAAAATGTGAAAGAAAAATATATCACATTAGAGATAGAGAGAAATAAAAAGGAATACGCTTTTTATAAGGTAATGTATAACATTATACTATAAAGATGGAACAAAGGAAACACTCCCTTTATTCATTAGCCTACTCTCTTAATCTAATATAGCATTAATTAATCTTAGTTTAGCCTATTTCTTACAAATTAGATGCATTTTTGCTAAAGTATCAAAGCCATGCTTGGCTAAGAGGTTGTTTGGAAATACAAACATTTTAGAAATATAGATTAATTATAATGCACATATTTTAAAAATATAAAGTTCTTTGGTTGGATGCAAATCAAAAGCATTGATTTTTTTTTTTTTTTTTGCTATTTAAATCAAATGTCTGTCTTTTGATGACCCGGTTAGGAGAGTAGATGTATTAGATCTAGCACATGTTAAGAAAGGTAGAGATAGACCTAAAAAAGACTTAGTTAGAAAGTATTAAAAATGACTTTCTTATTAAATTTAAATGAGAATTTGACTCTTAATAGAACACAATAGAAAAAAAAAATTCATATGGACGATTCCACATAGTGGGATGAAAGCTTAATGTTGTTGTTGTTTTGTTATGATATATTTCAAATATTTTCAAATCAAAAGCATTAAAGATTGACAAGAGCACCAATGATGAGAACTTGATCTCATCATGAATATTTCGAGCTATTCAACACTCCTAACATAAAGAAGAAATAGACGAGATAATACATAAAGGGAAGTTTCAGTAATTATCCTTCATGTCTCATCTACCCTAATAGGAATTTATACAATATAATGGTTTAAGCTAATTATTATTCCTAATGAATTCACTATTAACTACTAACCTAATTATAAGTGGATTCACATCATATTAAGTGGAATGTAACCAAATTCACCGATTCCATTTCTTTACATTTAAACTATCTATACGTGTTCAATACCCTTGATTTCTCAGCAATTATTGATGAAAAATTCGTTTCAAGTTAAGATGTTTTATTTCAAAAAGACACACATGCCATTAAGCATCAGAAAATCTATAAAATTTACCTTCTTTTCTGCTGCAACAACAAGAAATCTTCATCCGCAAGCTTTCTGACCGATAAGAAGATGTGCCTGCTTGCGAAACTTGAAGGTTAATAATGCTTGGGCACCTCGTATCAACCCCAAATCCTCTCTGGATCCTTAAACCTCCTCCTGTCCTCCTTCTACCTCTCTCGGGTCCATTCCAGGTACATGACTGATTGCTCAGCGCCGAAGCCGCCTCCATAGTCCTCTAGATCACCGCTATCGAAAAGCGTCACAAAAAAAGGAAAGAAATATCCACAGCAAGAACGATACCTCTTTATCCCTGTTTCCTTCAGCTTCTATTATCCGCTGCAGATCTAAAATAAGAACCCAGCACCATACACCTAACCAAATTAAATTTATTCAAAATTCAAATGAAACCCCCGATTTCGACCAAATGAGAATAACGACCAATTCAAAGCCGAATCCATAGAGTGAAAAAGAAATACCTCAAATCCAACGAAGAATCCACGTAAGGCTCTACAAGATAGAACAGATCAGTTCGGCGCACTATAAGAGAAGAAGGAGACGATCCGGGATAGGTGGAGCGGACGAAGTAGGTGGCAGACGGAGAGGTTTTATAGTAGACTATGGTTCAGATCGCGTGGGAATTGTGGTGTTTGTTCGATTTGTTCAAATTTACAGAATTACCCTTTTCTTCAAAATTTAGGTTCACATAAAAATTTAAGAAAATTATCTTATGATGCGATTATTTAGATAATATAATTAAACTATTAGGTAATATAATCAATTTATTAGATATTTCTCATAGTTTAATATATTAAAATTAATATAATTCGAGAATAACTGTTCAGATCATCTTTTTAAATTATTGAATTTGATTAAAAATATAATCAGAATATCTCAACTTTTACCGTAGCGTGGGTTGGTGAGTCTTCAAGTAGGCCAATAAGTCTCCGTGGCTGCCACAACCACCACGGAGCAAGAAAGAGGGACCTTCGGCTTTAGGATCCCCTGTATGTTTAAACAGCAAACATTATTTCGTTTGGCAATTCTGCCTGCATCTATAAAGTCAAAAGTTCTTGGCTGAGATTAATTTGAGCTGATATATATATATACTAGTTTTGTTACACGTAAAACTAAAAAATCATATAATTATTTTATTATTGTGAAAAAAATTATTTAATTCATTAGTATAAATAATTATAATTGATAATTACATTAATGAAAAATTATATATTTACATTAAAATCATAATGGATAAAATATTTTAATATTTTTTTAAAAATTCAATACTAAATCAGTTATCAAAGACATAATATAAGTAAGAAATGCATACAAACAATGAAAGAAAATTACAATAAACTAAAGGGGGTTTTACATACATAACATTTCAAACTATTATATTTACTTATCTAACACCCAAAGTATACTATTTACATATCTACCACCTAAATACATCCCGTTTCATCTAAAATACCACTCTGTCAGAACTCCGTCCCGACTCTACCTTTCGCTCGTGAAATCTCTTCGTCTTCGTCGCCGGAGTGTCTACCCGATCTAGCGACGTGGGAAGAGGAAGACATCTTCATTTTTCCGCCCCAAAATTCCTGAAATCTGTGACGCCACCGGAGCAGGAAATCGTGACAAGAGGTTGCTGGAGAAGGCAATCGACGACAGCAGCGATAAATGTGTGAAATTTGTGTGAGGAGGAACAACAATTTGCAAGTGGGAGAATCAATTTCTTCTCTTTTCTTTCTGTCTAAAATTTGTGTGATGCTTTTTTATTTGATCACATTGTTCTTCTCATCTGCAAATCCTGGATAAAATTTTGATCTTTTGCCTGCGAGATTTATGAGATTCAAAGAAACAAGTGAAAATGCTTTAGAAGATTGAAGAACCAAGTTGAGCTTGGGATTCGGAATCATATTTCTATTCCTTAATAAATAACTTATGGTTACTATTTCTTAGCTGAATTATCTTAACCAGGGACAGGGGCTCCGCTGAATTGTCTTAGCTGAATTATCTGCTACTCGAATCCACCGGAGGCTCCGCCGACGGCATCGAGAGAGTTCAGGGCCTTCATTTCTTGTTGCCTTCAGAAAGAGCCTTCTCGCCGCCTTACAACTGAACAACATCTGCAGCATTCTTTCATCACCCAGCTTCAGCACCCGCCATTACTGTCATCTTCATCATCCTCTTCCAACTCCTCTCATCTATGAGCATTAGCATCCCCGTGAATTGAGTTGGTTGAAGGATGCTGGGCGGCCAGGACAAGTTCTTCGAAGAGAACGGCGGGCGAATCCTCCGGCAACGTGTGAAAGAACTCAATATATCTCCTTCGAGCTTCCGCTTCTTCACCGTCGGAGAACTGGATCGAGCCACCGACAGCTACAGCGAAAGCCAATGAAGCCTTACCATGGCATCAATGAAGATAGAAGCGGGTGGGTCTCGATTCCTAAGACGTCTGGACACTCCAGTGAGACAGCGACGAAGAAGAAGGAATTTCACGCGCAAAGGGCAGAGTCGGGCCGGAGTTCTGACGGAGTGGTATTTTAGATGAAACGTGGTATATTTAGGTGGTAGGTATGTAAATAGTATACTTTGAGTGTTAGATAAGTAAATATATAAGGTTGAAGTGTTATGTATGTAAAAATCCCTAAATTAAAACCATAAGAGAGAGAACTACTGACTCAATTGATATAACTTTAGATATGATCATTCTATTGTAAGAAAGTAAATTACAATAAGTTAAAGAATTCCAGAATTCCTTACAAACTAACTTCAACAAAATTAAGAAAAATGAGGAAAAAAAATTAAATAAACATTGGCCCCACAAAACAGATGCATTTCTCACTTTCACAAAGCTGAGGAAACAATAACTCATTCCAAAGCAGAAAACTCAATTTCATTGTGATGCATATACCTTTAAATAAGAAAACAATCAAATTAAATAAAATATTAAATCAATTGTAGAATCACAATTAATAAAAACAAATATAATTTAAAGAGGCATGCGTTTGCAACCCAAATGATTACTAAAACATATAGATTTAACAAAAAATATCTACCCAATACTCTCTTTTGTCAAAAACACAAAAAATAGGATGCCAAAGAATACATTAATAACTCCGCACTCTCAATAAAAATAATGAGTTGACTTCAAAGAAACAAGGAATAAAAAAAACCTATCCAACAATACATAATTCTATAATAATAGCGTTATCGAAGAAAGCTACCGTTGATGCTATACCTTAGCGAGATTGATGTGTAGAAGAAAAGGGGCTTCTTAGGGTTAAAGACATGGAATAATTCTTCTTGTGTTAATTGTCGACGTTCATGTTGTTGATGTAGAAGAAATATAATAAAACAGTTATTATGTTACAACCTCTATTACATAAAAACAAATACCAACTAGAGGAAAAGTTATAAGAAAATTTTTCTACATATCCAGTACCATAAATACAGAAAGTGCAAATCAAGTTAGCTTTATATGCGCATCGACATATTGGCGAGAATAACAATTAATATTTAATTTTATTAATATAAATATTATATAGATATTGATGTCTATTGCTTCATGGAAGATAAAGAGGGAGAACTCATGAAAACTACATCTAAGAGAAAATTTGATGCGTAGAAGAAAAATGTCAAGGAAGAAAATTTATGTGTTTTCAATTATAGGGGAGCACATCAACAGGAATTGTTTTACTTTGGCTTGACTTCAACTTCATTAATATTCCAAAGATAGATAGCATCTTGTTCATGATTACATCTTAAAAATAGAGCAGTATTAAATAGCATGGTGCAAATTACGAGATGTTAAATTAGAAATTATAAGCATTATTTCTTAGCTTAGGATATTTCTCCCTCTTAAAAAGTGTAACTGGATGCAATGGCTAACAAGCGATCATCTTTGGTAAAGGATAATGATGCTATGCTACTTGAATAAAGAAAGGCGTACGAACAATGAGTTAGTATAAATGCACATACACTAAGTGTGAACGAATAAATATATAAAAAAAAATTATTATAAATTAATCATATTTACAAAAACTTTATCACTAAGATTATGCATAAGAATTAAAATTCATGTATATAGATGTCTAACAAGAATATTATCAGCATATATAAAAAATCATACAAGATATAAAAGTAATTAATTTTATCCTATTGATGCAACTAAAAATTGCATACTCAATTTAGCAATAATAATATAGATAAGTTATTGAAGACTTATAAAATCTTTGATTGCAAATTCATATTTGCTTTTGATCTAAATTGATAATAAAGTAAATCAACATGTCATAAATATGCAACAATAAGGATAGTAGCATTCACTTGCCTCAAGTACAAAATCTAATACTTTTGATCTAAATTAACAATAAAGTAAATCAACATGTCATAAATATGCAAGAATAAGGATAGCAGCATTCACTTGCCTCAAGTACAAAATCTGATACTTTTGATCTAAATTAACTATAAAGTAAATCATCATGTCATAAATATGCAAGAATAAGGATAACAACATTCACTTGTCTCAAGTACAAAATCTGATACATCTAACGACAACAACTTGGACTCAAAGTGGTGAGCTAAAACTTTCAGAAGCATATGTTGATAAAGTTCTACAAAAAAGAGTTTCTCAAAAATTAGTGTCAAGTATTAAAAATAAATACTAATAGAAAAGAAATTGGAAAATGATTTTCAATGAAAAATAATAATGTAATTGAAGGCTTTCACTTGCAAGTTAAAATAATAGTTTCAAATTTTACAGTATTCTCTTCTATAAATATTCATCTTAGATATACCTCATGAATTATATCACAGTAAATATAATCCAAAAAGAGAAGGCTCGATGACTGAGTAATATAGCATTGGTGCAATGTAGCAACCAAAAATGATAGATGTAGAATTTTACCTTTTTTCTACAAAGAGGGGTCTTCAGCCCAAATAAGGATGATCGAAGAATTTTTATGAGAGCTAAAAAAAATTAAAAGTTAGGTGTAATTAGAATGTGTGTAATATATCAATTAGAAATTGGTTGTTCTATCTCTTTCTAACACCACATGAATTATAGAATTCTATAATTCATGTGGTGGTTCACACTATAGAGTCCTCACTAAATCCAATAATAGAGTAATGTTGATTATTATTAAAGACAATACATTTGTTGTATCATATGCTATTAACCAAAGAGCAAAATGAAGGGAATTTATATGCCTTCATTATCAAATGCAATACAAATATTATTTCAAACTCAACAAAAATTCTCAATCATATTGTACCATCTTTTATCCTATTAAGATAGATTCCTTCTTAGAGTAATACGAATTTAGGTAAAAATTCAAAATAATAAACATTTCATGCACTTTGTAATAAAGTACGCAACAATTAAGTAGCAAAGATTTTGACCATGCCTGGAAGAGGGAACTTGTTGCAGTTCATGCATTGTTGGATGACTGGTCAAAGCTATTCCAGCATAAAACTTAAAAAAACAAAAAATGTGAACCACCATATGAATTACAGAATTCTGGATACAGAATCTTATTTATCAAAATAGAAAAATAAAATTCAAATTAAAAAAACATTTTATTCAACAATCAATTTTATATTTATACAAGTATGAGGCTACACTATTGGCTACATACATGCAACAAAAAGAAAAAAAAAATATTTAACTGGCCATCAAACCAGCAATGGTGCAGTTCCGACGTTAGGTTTAGTCTAGCTTTCCCTTACCTAAGAGAAGTGTCCAAACAAATCTTTTTAACTATGCAGGAGCAGGAAGAAATAAAAATGGTTCCGTCAGTTATGTCTTGCCCTTTTTTTTTAATGAAAAAAAGAGCCAAAGAAACCCTTTGAAAATGCTCGGTGGAGAAGAAGAATAACCATTAAATCCTTTAAAGAGCAGTTCTCTGGCTTCCCCTTACCTAAGAGAAGTGCCCCAACCCAATCTCTTTACCTGTGCTTGAGCTGGAAGAAAAAAATTGGTTCCGTCAGTTATGTCTTGCCTTTTTTTTAATGAAAAAGAGAGCCAAAGAAATCCTTTGAAAATGCTCCGTGGAGAAGAAGAATAACCATTAAATGCTTTAAAGAAAATATTGCAATAGAAGAAGAAGAAAAAGAAGAAAGAGGGCCAACGGAGAAAGCGAATACTAATTAAAGAAAATGTTAAAATAGAAGAAGAAGAAGAACGAAGCTCACAGTTTAGCAAAGGGAGGGTAGGCGGGTTCGCATGCGAGAGACTCACTGTTGCATCTCAGTTGCAAAGCCAGTTGTGTGAAGAAAGGGATAAATTATTATGTCCGGTGTCCGGATTCCTCCGGACACCAATCCAGACGCGCCACATCAACAAAACATACTGGGCCCTGATGTATTTGAGTGATGTGGCGCATTCGGATTGGTTGTTCGGATGTCAGGTGACCGGATACAATAATTTAGTGAAGAAAGGACTACCGATATGGGGGAAAAAGAATGGGGAATATGGATTTAATATGGAATAAAAAAGAATGGATACAAAGGGTGTGGAATATACGGTTAGATTTATGTTTGGCTGCAGATAGCTAAAGGGTAGAATCACATTGGTAGGATAGAATCACATCGGTCGCGATGGGAAACACCGAAAAGGATGGTTAATCGTATATTTACTTGCTTAAATGATATATTATTACGGTTGGATTTAAAAGTGCTGTTGGAATTGATAGAACCACATCTGTCACGACTCACGAATGGGAAACACCAAAATGAAGGGTTAACTGGACATTTATTTGTTTAATAGGTGGCGGAATCTCTAAGAGCGGTGCCAATTTTCTTAATTAGTTATAATTATAATAATTAAAATAAAAGGTTGAGATTTGATTTGAATAATTAAAATTTATTAAAATACATGGCCAGGATTTCATGTGGAAGGAAATTCAAGCCCCTTTTATAGAAGTAGTCTAGATAGTATAGATGTGTATTAAATTGGGCGTATGACTCTTATTGTGTTATTGATTGCTACATAAATTTTATATATTTTCATATTTATTAAATATTTATGATATAATGAAGGGTTAGGATATTATTTTAAGAAATGAAATGGAAGGCTAGGATTGCATATGGGTGGATTCCCAAGCCACACTTATATAGTAGTGTGTGTATATATATATATATATATATAACATTTTGTAACCACACTGAATCCTAATATTAAATTTAAAATAATTTGATAAATAAAACTTATTAATAATATGATGAAATATTATAGATGTTTTAATTATTTAATAGTTTAGAAGAAATTCATTAGACTAAATAGTTTAACATGCTAGAAATTTTACAATAATACAGAGATTATTTTTAATATTTTAGTATTATAAAAAGGGCCAACATATGTGGATAGAACTTTTTTTGAAAAATAAAAATAAAAAATGGGCAAAATCATGAGGATTTACGCAAATCGAAAAGTATAATGGATATATGCTCAAAAAATTATCTTGATCGGGCACGAATCTTGAGGCAAAATCAAGTTGGAAACTTCAAAAATTAAATTCGGGACCATCTGAACTCCAATTTCAGTAAACTTACAGTCGAACTGAATGTCTCAAAAATATGAACCCAACGACACAAAATTCAACCCAATCCGAGCTCAAATATGTCCAAATCAAAGACCCAAAGTGTATTTTGAATGTTTAAACCATAATTTTCATTAACAAACGATTTCTAAACGTGGCATGCTTATAGTCGAATCGAACGGCTTGACAAGAAGAATCCAACACGCCCAAGATCGTTAGATTTTTATATCATTAAGACGTTCAAATGCCAATTAAATGATCAAATATCAAGGGATTCAATATCAGCTGTCCAACATTCAAACCACTCCCAAATGACCCTTGATCTTACTCCTATTTATTGGTCATGCCACTCTCAAAAAGCTATAAGTATACCTCTCATTTGTCATAGAAGTGGACAGAAGCAAAGCAGAGAAGTAAGAGAACTTTCTTGCCACCAGAATCCTCCTCGACCACTACCGGACTTCCACTCGGCAGCCGACTTATGCCGGACTTCTTCCCGACTGCCGACCAACAACGGACTTTTGCCCTGACTGCTTACTAAAGCCAAATTTTTGCTTGATCACTAAACTTCGTCATATTTTCAATCTCCGCTAATAATTGGATTTCAACCCAATGATTGATTATTGTAATTTGATCATCCTCATATTCAGGGATGAGTCATCCACTTGTAATCTAATCAAATACTAGTGAAATCATTACAACTGGGCATGTCCCTATGGTTTTTCTCTTTTCTCCATGGAAAAGTTCTAGTGTTTAATTTTTCTTCTGTTTGTGTGGTTGATTTTTGTACAACGTTTAGATGAAAAGTCCTAGCTCTATCGTTGCATATATTATAGCCTACAACAGTTTGGTGTCATCTGTGGGAAATCCAATTTCACTATCCTATGCATTATTTCAATGGAAAACAAGCATAGCAATCACATCTTGGAAGCCTCCTCTCTAATACCCATCAATCCATGAATCATTCTATGAATCATGGATGCTAAGTATCTGCCTCTTTTTATCTTGGTGGGAAAAATGCTATTGGATAAGGAACTTCAGGACCTTTCCAAGAAAAGCATATCCGAAAGATAGAAGAATCTCAAAATGAGATCCTTTAACTCTTGTAAGAGACTCAACAACTAGCACTAGAATCACAAGAGGAGATTCTTCTCCCTCGAGATCCACCACTAGCTAAAGGTGTTCGATTTGAATATCTTTATGAAGATATTCCTCTACCTTAATCAAGGATGCATCTTTCATCACGTCAAGACAATGAACTTGCTGTTATAATAAGCTCTGCCCATCGTTCGCATGCAGGTTGGTAACCTTGCATTCCTTTTGATATGCTCGAGGACTTAGCCCAACTGTACATTGCTGAGCTCTTATGCAACGCCTTACGACACAAACTTCAAAGATTGGTCCAAGAAGAGTTCCCATTGGGAGGTGTAAGAATTGTTTTTTGTTAGTGGAACTTCAAAGAGTATCACCCCTAATGAAGCCATCCTTTAACATCCATTCTTGCATGATTCAAACTACCCATCATTGATTCCTATAACGGGACATCTGATCTGTACGAGCATATCGATCACCATAAAACCATCATGCATATCCAACAAGCCTCAGATGTGCTCATGTGTTAGATTTTTTCTACTACCCTCAAAGGACAAGCTTCAACATGGTTCTATTTATATTTTGCTGGAATGATCTTCACATTCATCAAATTGGCTAATGTGTTCATCGAATAATTCATAACCAATCCAAGAATTGCTAAGGATTCTCCATAATGATGGAGAATCAGTTAAGGAGTAATTTTAACAATTTTCTACTAAAGCTAAACAAATTCTAGCAATCAATCCAAAATTATTGAGATGATTTTTTTAGGAGGCCTCCATCCTGGTCCCTTTTGCTGGGGACTCATATGAGATATTATTAATTCATAGGTGACTTGGTCCATCAAGTGGAGACTGAACTCTTTACAGCTAAAGTCATAAATACACACAGAAAGTAGTTTAAGCAAACAAATGGAAAGCATAAAAGTGCACCAAGAGTGGATAATTCATTCTTATAATGAAAAAAACAAGGGAAGGGTAACCTGCCTCCTAGACCCCCATTGCCACTACATGAGCCTCAATAAGAGAAGAAGTACACACCACTCAACGTATCTCAAGAAAATATGTTGATGGCCATTCGAAATCAGGAGAACATAAATTTTCCAAACCCTTTAAAGCTAAATACAGGAAATCAGAATCAACACTATCATTTCTACCACAGTTAAGGGCACACCACTAAATCATGTAAGGAGCTTAAGGATGAAATGGAAAGACTTGTCCGATAAGGCTAAATTTGAAGATTTATTTAAAATCCACCTCTTCAAGATGATGCTCGTCAGAATGGGGGGCAAAATCAATAACAGTTGAGATAACCATTGAATAATCATCAAACATTCGGTGAGATTGAAACCATTACAGGGAGACCTTTATTATCAAATTAATTCTTATTTGATATAAATGAAAAGCTGACACTAAAGAATTTTCATATCGATCATTTTACTACTTTTGATAATTTTGATTTGGAGGGGATAAAAACCCCTCATTAAGATTTATTTGTGAGTAATGCAGGGATAGGTGACCCGTATTACAACATCAAAAGAATATGGCGGGTAATGGGAGCTTCGTAAATGTCTTATTCTACTATACCTTTTTTAATATAGGACTCACTAGAGCAAAGTTTCAGACTGCTGTAAGTCTATTATATGGGTTTAACAATCAACCTATATGTGTGGAATGGATAATAAGTCTCACAATTGTGCTTAGAGAATTTCTCCAGTAAACTACACACTCCATCCAATTTATCATATAAAAGTTGGAATCATCCTATAATGTTATCTTTGGAAGGCTACTCCAGTCGATCTTTAGCATTATCGCCTTCATCCCTCACCTTAAACTGATGTTTTTTACCCCGCTGAGAGTTAGTGTAGTATGCAAAAATCAACAAGTAACATAATCCTGTTATATTTGGGAGGCTCAACCATGCCTATTAGTTATCCTTAGCATTGATTATTTAGATCTCTGGAATGAGGATATCCTTCAAAGGGCTTCTCTCGTAGAAGACCTCGCTCAATATTTATATCAGAAGACCACCTTTCAAGGACTATGTAGATCGGGTCTCTTTTATAAGACAAAGAAAAGAAATAATACATAGATTTTCTATATAAGAACCAAGATATTTTTGAGTGGAGTCCAATAGATATTTCTAGAATTTACCATAAGGAGTTTATTCACTCTCTCAAAGTCAACCTGACATACAAGCCAATAATTAAAAAAAAAAATGAAAGTTTGTACCTAACCGCCAGCAACCAATTGAGTAGGAAGTTGATAAACTTTGAGAGGCTTGATTTATATAGGATATGCACTATCCCACAGGGATGGTAAATTTCATCATGGTATGGAAGACTAATAGAGCTTGACGGATATGTGTAGACTATATTGATCTCAATAAAGCCCGCCAGAAGGATAATTTTTTGCCTCCTCATATTGACCAGTTGATCGATACTACCTTTGGACATCAATACTAAGCTTTATGGATGCCTACTTTGGCTATAATCAAATAAAGATAGATTATACAGATGTTGAGGCAATGACTTTTTAATTAGATAAGGGGTTATATTATTATCTGGTCATGCCATTCAGGCTCAAAAATGCTAGAGCCATGTATTAACACCTCATGAATAAGGCATTCAAAGATCTTATTATATATACTGATGATATGTTGGTAAAAAGCATTAAAAAATCTCAACATATTTGACTTAGAACATTTCTTCCACCTACTACGATGATACAACATGTGGCTCAACATTACTAAGTGTACTTTTG